GTTGTTGCCCAGGCTGGAGTTCAGTGGCATGATCACAGCTCACTGCAGCCTAGACCTCCTGGGTACAAGCAACCCTCCTACTTCAGCCTCCCCAGTCTTGACATCCCCACACCCCCACCCCAAGTAGCTGGGACTACAGAAATGCACTACCACATCAAGCTAATTTAAAAAAAAAAAATGTTTTGTAGAGATGAGGGGGTCTCAAACTACTGGCCTTAAGCAATTCTCCCACCTCAGCCTCCCAAAATGCTGAGATTATAGGCATGAGCCACCAGGTCCAGACTACAGTGAGATTTTTAGGAGACATTTTCCATGTCCACAGTCTACTGTAATTGCTGTAACAATTTCTCTAACAACTGCTTTCCTTTGCCTGTAAGAGGAGCTCGAATAAGATAAATGTTTTGCTTTACTTCTTTGATGTCCTGGATTTTCTTTAGCTCTTTATTTTTCTTCAATCTGTTCATTATACATTTAGCTTGGTGTTCCTTTTTTCCTCTTTTTATTTTAAGTTCTGGGATACATGTGCAGAACGTGGAGGTTTGTTACATAGTTATACATGTGCCATGGTGGTTGCTGCACCTATCAACCAATCATCTACGTTTTAAACCCTGCATGCCTTAGGTATTTGTCATAATGCTCTCCTTCCCCTCCCCCCCAACCCCCCAACAGGCCCGAGTGTGTGATGTTCCTCTCCCTGTGTCAGTGTGTTCTCATTGTTCAACTCCCACTTATGAGTGAGAACATGTGGTGTTTGGTTTTCTGTTCCTGTGTTAGTTTGTGGAGAATGATGGCTTCCAGCTTCATCCATATCCCTGCAAAGGCCATGAACTCATTCTTTTTTATGGCTGCCTTTTTTTTTTTTTGAGATGGAGTCTCACTCTGTTGCCCATGATGGAGTGCAGTGGTGCGATCTCAGCTCACTACAACCTCCGCCTCCTGGGTTCAAGCAATTCTCCTGCCTCGCCCCTTGAGTAGCTGGGATTACAAGCACATGCCACCACGCCCAGCTAATTTTTGTATTTTTGGTAGAAATGGGGTTTCACCATGTTGCTGAGGCTGGTCTTGAACTCCTGACCTTGTGATCCACCCACCTCGGCCTCCCAAAGTGCTGGGATTACAGGCGTGAGCCACGCACTCAGCTTTTATTGTAACCATTTTTATATGTACATTTAAAAATGTCCTTTGGAGACTTGGAACTTCTAAATTAATTTTTTTTACATAAGAGCACTTAAATGAAAAGTGATTAAAAATACATTTCTCCTACATTGCTGTCTGCAAAACATCAGATGTTATGGATGTTAGACTCCATCTCAATGTTAAACCTTCACGGATAGGTTTACTTACCTCAGTCATGAACATTCTGTTTATAGGCTGGGTGCAGTGCCTCACACCTGTAATTTCAGCACTTTGGGAGGCCAATGTGGGTAGATCACTTGAGGTCAAGAGTTTGAGACCAGCCTGGACAACATGGCAAAACCCCATCTCTACTAAAAATACAAACATTAGCCAAGCGTGGTGGCAGGTACCTGTAATCTCAGCTACTAGGGAGACCGAGTCAGGAGAATTGCTTGAACCCAGGAGGTAGAGGTTGCAGTGAGTTGACATCGTGCCACTGCACTCTAGACTGGGCGACAGAGCAAGACTCCATCTCAAAAAAA